AGATAATCTGGTTTAATTTTCAAGACACCTTTCCTACAACTCAATAATAAATATTCTTATTGACCTTTACACAAAATTCCCTGGCCCAAAAACCTTCGACTATAAGATCTATTTAATTAGTTCATCGATAAAAAAAACATCCGTTTGCGTTTTCTTTCATTTTAAAGTCATATACCTATTTTGTTAACCCGTTGTTTATCATTCGAAACTTAGTTGTCTTCGGCATAATCGCGATTTGAACTACCACAAAATATGTCAAACTGACAAACCACCAAAAGCTGCATTTAGTATTTCAGAAATATATATGTTCTACATTTTTTACATTCTCCATATCATTTAGAATGATATTTCTACTTTGTTTTCCATTTGTGACTGAAATATTAATTTTAGAAAAAAATAAGGCATATTTTATTTCTCAGTACAAAATTCTGATTTCAATCTAGAAATAATTTTATAATGTCCCATAAAATCAAAACAAATGTGTCCTTATTGCATTGAATTACGAATAGCATGTGCCAAACAAAATTACCTCCATACATTGTAATACTATGAAGTACAATAGCATAATTAGCATTTAAATTGATTTGAAATTTTACAGTAAATTAAGTAGCTATTCTCATAGGAAAAATAATTCTCATTTCACAAAAAATCCAAATTACATTTCAATTGTTTATTTCGGCACGTTTTTGCGTTCTCTTTCATCGAACAGGCAATGCCATAGCGTAAACGCTGTGTAACAATAAACTTTGTTCAAATCATAAATATACAATCAGAAAATTCAAAACAAAAAAAAAATTGTTCGCATACAACAAATGTTAAGCATCCTGCAAATCTTTTTTCCCTTCAATTGTTAAATAGCCATAAAAAACAGACAACAAATATTTCATTCAGAAAACAAGACTAAACGAAAGGCAAAAAAAAAAAACAAGAAAATCAGATACTAATACTGAAATGCCGCAGAGTATTAGCATCAACAAATCCAAAGAACAAAACAAAAAAAGAACGATGTTGCACCAAACGCAGCATCCAAACCACAACAAGCCAAAACACCGAAAACGGTGTCAGAAAACTACTAACCAAAATTGTGCTCATTTCGAAATTGTTGCATTTGTTCGGATTTTTTGGCAATGTGCCAAACCATGCACCAAGCAGCCAGCTAAATAGCCAGCCAACCAACTGAACAACAAACCAACCAACCATCCAGCCATTTAGTCATCTAACGAACCGACTAAGTCAGCCAGCCAGGCAGCCAACCAGCCAGTCAACCAAGCATATATAGAAATCCTAGAATCATAGACCAAAGAGAAAGAACATGAGATTGACTTTTATTGAATTGCTTGAATGTTTTGCAGCAGCCCAGGAGGGGCAATATCCAACAGAGTTGCCAATTGGACGAAATTCGATCAAAGTTGGCAACCTAATTTTCATAACCATGAAATATTATTGTCCGTTCGACACTATAGCAAGAACATTTTATGTTGCCCTGATCAAGACAACTAGACGCTGTGTTTGAAAGGAATTGCAAAATGATCACTCAGGTTTAAATATTCGAATAGATCCTCCTGCAACCTTGAACCATGGACTTATTTAAAAAATGCGAATAAGTTCTGTACCCACTAAGAAACTGGAATGCCATCTCATTGAAAATATCATAAACCGAGCGGACTTATATTAATTTTTTTTGCTGAAGTTGAGCTAGAGGGCCATTTATGTGTCGAGAGATTTCGAAATGCTAAAAATGTTCTAAATGGGTCATTATATCAGAAAAGGAGTCTATATTGAAAATCTTCTGTGAATAAGTTATTGACCCACCAACAACACAATCAGTTTGGTTAGAAAATGTGTTCAGGGTCTTTTAATACATCAAAGGTGCGGAACTTTATTATACGTAAGTTTTTATTCTTAAAGAACCCACCATTTCAAATTACAGTAATTTCGTTTAGAAAATATATATCTTTATATTGGAGCTATATCAAAACAGGTCCATGTTTAAAAAAAGTTCTGTTTATAAATTTTTAGGTCATAAAGAACCTGAAATGGCAATTTGTAGCACCTTCGCTTGCCACACTTATAAAGTGGCAATACAAAAACTTGCACCTATATTGTTTCCTGCAAATAAGTTTTTTACCCACCAAGAACTCGAACTCCGAGTAAACAGATCTCCCATAAACAGCCACTTTGTTTGGAAAATGTCAAAACAGTCGATTAGGGTAAAAAAACAGCTAAAACCCTTAAAGTACCAAATATCGGCCAGTATGGGGACTATTACAAAACTTCTTGCGAAGATGTTTTGCACCCACCAAGAACATTAAATGTCAATTTGCTTGCTTGTTCAGTTTCAAGCTAAAATTAAACTTCTCCAGCTTTATTTAAATGCAGGTCACTGGAATAACTTGGTTAAAAGTGTTCCTGCTATCTTTCACAAAGTGTTGGCCATCACTGAATGCTCATTTTTAACTATCCGCCATCATCATTCCATTTCCAACACATCGAAATTCCAGGAGACCCCATATTCTTGATCATATTAAAATGCTATGTTGATTTAGCGACGTCCACCTGTCTGACCGTCTGTTGATTTTAAAATAAAGCTACAATATTTAAGATAGATATGATGTTTGGAAATATGATAAATCGGTCGAATTGGTAGGGAAGTCACAATATAATTGTACCCCCCAAATTTCGATATTTTAGGGAGTGTGTGTTCTGATTTTCACCAAATTATATGTAGCAGATTTTGCTGCCAAAATTTATCAATATAGACTTAAATGTCGGAGTAAGCCTATGTAGCCTCCAAAATTTTGGTAGTTTCTCTACCGAATTGCCTATTTTTGGTATATTAATTTTTATTGGGTGTCAAATCTACCGACCAAATATTTACAATGATTTAACACCCAATATTAAACTCTTGATTGATTATATTGATTATATGTTTGAATATCAAACTCCCGGTGGACGGTATATTTTTATATCAAGATTTTTTTTTGTTTCTCCATCATTTTGTGCATAAGAATCTGGCAACCCTTGTTGGAATATACAGCTTTAACCATTAAAACATCAAAAATAGGTGGGACCTCAATATGGGAATTATATGAAAACATGAATAAATTCTGAATACGTCAAGAACTCGGAATGCCGAATGGCAGCCACTTAGGTTGGGAATACGCCTAGCTATGAACCTTGATGGGAGCTATGTCAAACTATTAGGTTGGGTAAAAAGAAATCCGTTATTTTTATATGAACTGTATGACTTTATTAAACATTCTTCGGAATGCCCGATTTGAGCCAAATATGCACCTTTTTGTGTATGATTTGTTGTCATTGTAAAGATATTTTCATAATGCCTCTCTCATAGAAGTCCTGTTCTCTATTTGCAAAAAAAACGCTAGTAGTTGATTTCCACAATTCTCCCTAGATACCAATTTTTTTATCATTAAAGAAATTTTGCAATGCAAGAAAAATATGATAATCGCTTGGTGTCAAGTCCGGACTGTATGACGGATGCATTAAAACTTCCCAACCAAGCTCCCGATGTTTCTGGCGAGTCACTATAGATGTGTGTTAGCTAGCCTTGTCCTGGTGGAACACCTCTCCTGTTGGCCAATTCTGGCTGTTTCTGGTCAATTGTAAATGGTTTACAACAATTTTATGGTCGATTTTTAGCTCCTGGGCGATGTTACGACTGCTAACATGCCGCTCAACTTCAATAATTTCCCCGATTTTATCTAAATTTTCGACGACCGGCCTACTTGTGCGAGGTACATCTTTAACATCAAAAATTCCTTAACGGAATCTACGAAACCAAAATTGCACAAAATTGGCTGTTACAGTATCAGAACCATAAACACCATACACAATTTTAGCCGCTTGGCTTGCTTTTTGCCTTTGTCAAAATTATAAAATGTACCAATTCATCAATTTTAGTACTATATAGAAGTTTTCGTGCAATTATAGTATGAATTTTAAACAATATTCTTTCCCAACCGAATTCAATGTTAATTGTACTAATATCCGAACACTTTTTTTACTTTTCGTACACTTGTATTACAAATTTAGAAAAATAGCTTGGTACATTCACATATGGAGGGTATATGTGATTCTCACTAAAATTTTGAGATTTTTGACTTTCACCCAAAACTATGATTTGTAGTACTTTTCGTACTTATGTTTTGCCGTATATGGCATCACTGGCAGGCAAACAAACTGCCAAACTGCTGCTGCTAAATAATGCAAGCAATCTGATATGTTGACAAGAAACATGCTGCATGCAAAAAAAAGAACGACGGAAATTTGAAAATAAATGGCCACACATTGTTCTATGGAGACATAGAAATAGTTTTCCTAATGATAAATGACAGAATAATGCGGACGAAAAAACAAAGTGTTGAAATGGAATATTTTGTCAGAGAAATGAAATATACATTTGCAACATATTTTTTAGGTTGACAAAAATAATAACTACATTCCAAAAATTTTTGAATACTCCTGAAAAAAAATGGGCATATTGGATATTTAAAATGTTATATAGTCAAGTACCTCATAGATGACAAGTTTCCAAGATCCGTACAAGTTTTCACATTTCATTCGCTTAACATTGGATTTATAGAATTTGAATTTTTTTGGTGGAGATACTAGAAGGAATGCGCCAATATGTCCAATCTCCGAACATTATAAGGGCTTTGTAAATACATTAGGTTGTGAATAGTTTGCTTCAAATCAGTACCCTAAGCGTGGATTTTTTAAATAACATTTTTTCAAAGGACTATCACATCCCTAGGCGTGGATTTTTTTAAATAGAATTTTTTCAAAGGACTATCACATCCCTAGGCGTGGATTTCTTTTTAATAGATTTTTTTTTAAAGGACTATCACATCCCTAGGCGTGAATTTTTTTTAAATAGATTTTTTAAATCCAACTTTCCAAGTGTTTTTTTTTCAATCGAGCCTATCACACCTTTAAGTCACTTATTCAAATTCTGTTTTTTTTTCCCTTTTCATTACAGTTTTCAAACTGGAGAAAATATTAGCCGGTGTAGATTCAACGCCAGGAGTGTCAGAAGGTAAATTTTGAAATTTATAAAAAGTTAAATGGCATTTAAATTTAAATGTTTTCTTTTTTTATTTCCAGAATGGGGCTCTGGTTGGAAAGGTACAAATTTCATAGTGGAAATCGAAGAGACTGCATCTGCCTCACCCATCGACACAGACTATTTGAACAGTCGAGAAGATATTGTCAGTACAGAGACAGTGAATGCCACAAATATGATGACACAAGGTAAGCTGACAAAATCACTTTATTAAAAAAATATTTTGCAATTTTTTTTCTAATAACAAAAATTAAAATTAATTTCAAATATAAACTTTTTCACCAACTTCACCTAAAATTAATTGTCCCCCTCAAAAAGTTGTATTTACTTTGACAAAGTATTGTGCTTTAACATTTCAAATACATCGTATAACAAAAAAAAAAATGGTATAAGGGAACATGAGGCCTAATGTGAACCCATATATCAAACCTGAGCCTCTTCTCTGCGGACAATTCAATTTGTGTGACAGCAGCACCTCCCTGACCCCTCGTTTCCATAGTCCTTTTATTCATTCGTTCACTTCTGTTTGGATAAATTTTAATTTTATTCCATACAATGGCCCCGACAACCACATATGTAAAGTGTGTGGGTGTGTGTGTGAGAGGGAGAGTTCACATTTTAATTTTGGCAAAAATCATCCTCATCATCAATGTGAGCGGTGAAGCTATCAACAACCGCATCAAGGCTTTTTCCCCAACACACAAAAGAGGAGACCCCCAGTATTTTGTCAACTGAAAATGCCATTTCGTTAGTCTTTCCTTGCTACCTTCCAGGCAGTGGAGTAGGCGTTTCTGAAGTATAATAGAAGATTTAAAAAGGATATTTTTTTCTGAAACTATCGGGGCTCTAAGCGTGTTTTTTTAAATAGAAATTTTGCATAGGACCAACAAAGCTCTAGGCGTGGTTTTTTAAATAGAAATTTTGCATAGGACCAACACAGTTCTGGGTGTGGATTTTTTAAATAGGCATTTTCAAAGGACCAACACAGCTCTAGGCTGGGAATTTTTAAAATAGGCATTTTCAAAGGACCAACACAGCTCTAGGCGTGGATTTTTAAATAGAAATTTTCAAAGGACAAACATAGCTCTAGGCTGGGAATTTTTAAATTGAAATTTTCAAAGGACAATCAGTACCCATAGCCTGGATTTTTAAATAGAAGGACAATAAGTACCCTAAGCGTGGATTTTTAAATACAATTTTTTAAAGGACAATCAGTACACTAAGCATGGAATTTTAAATAGAAATTTTCAAAGGACTATCAGTACCATAAGCGTGGATTTTTTGAATGACTATCACAGTTCTTAGCTTGGATTTTTTAAATATTTTTAAAGGACTATCACAGCTTTCTTAGCGAAGATTTCTAATAAAGATGTTAAATGAGGAGTGGTTTTTTATAACATTTCCAAAGGACTGCCACATGAAATCTTTTAGGATATAAAAATATTGTGTTGGCCTTTTTTATGATGTCATACGACACTGCTCCACGGGCTTAACAGCGGAAACGGATGTATTTGCTTTCCTTACCAACGGTTCCTTTAAAGCTGTGATGGATTCAATTTGTAATATGGGTTGAATTTTGAACATTTTAACTACATTATGATCCCCATGAACGAACGCATTTCATTACATCTTCACGATGAAATTGAAAGGAGAGGCAAAACAGGAAAAACTGGGATCCCCAGCTGTATGATTAAATGCCGAGCAAACAATGAACAGCAGACGCGACTGTGTGTATGTTTACTTTCAACAAAAGATAAGAATTTGTTTATTTTAAATAACGTGTGATATGGTGGCAATCAGTGGATTTCATACCCAACAAAATAAGGCGCCAATTTTAAGGAGTGAAAAATTACACAAATGGGGATATTTACTTTTTCTTGTGTGATAAAGAAATGGTGAAATTTTTATTTCAAAAATCCACGCTTAGGGCACTGATAGTCCTTTGAAAAATTTTATTTCAAAAATCCACGCTTAGGGCACTGATAGTCCTTTGAAAAATTTTATTTCAAAAATCCACGCTTAGGGCACTGATAGTCCTTTGAAAAAAATTATTTCAAAAATCCACGCTTAGGGCACTGATAGTCCTTTGAAAAAAATTATTTTAAAAATCCACGCTTAGGGCACTGACAGTCCTTTGATTTTTTTTTTTTATTTACTTCAAAAATCCGCGCTTAGGGCACTGATAGTCCTTTGAAAAATTTTATTTCAAAAATCCACGCTTAGGGCACTGATAGTCCTTTGAAAAAATTTTATTTAAAAAATCCACGCTTAGGGCACTGATAGTCCTTTGAAAAAATTTTATTTAAAAAATCCACGCCTGGATCTGTGTTGGTCATTTGAAAAATTCTATTTAAAAAATCCACGCCTGGAGTTGTGTTGGTCCTTTGAAAAATTCTATTTAAAAATCCACGCCTGGAGGTCTAGAAATCCTTGAAAAAAATCTACGAAATCCTTGAAAAATTCTATTTAAAAAAATCCACGCCTGTAGGCCTGAAAATCCTTGAAAAATTCTATTTAAAAAATACACGCCTCATGTGTGTAAAAAATTACGTATTATCCTTTTGTTAGTTTTTAAGCCTAATAGAAATTCCGTTATTGGCAAACCAACATCAAACAAACAAAATCCTCAAATGATACCAAACACACGTCCTTGGGCCTCTCTATTTTTCTCTGTGTGTGCCTGAATGGAAAAGGAACTTTAAAAGTCAATTCCTTTGTGGAATAGCGATAAATCCAATCCTACATCAACAAAACCACAGCGCAACGCATTTTCATACTCGTTTTGTTTGATTTGAGTGTTGCGGCTATTTGTTTGATGCGGCGCTATGCGTCAGATCTATTTTTTCTATTTTGATGGATTGACTGACTTATTTTTTTTCCTAAATCCTTTGAATAAATATGTTCTTTAAAAATTATACACCGACAGGACAGAACAGAAAAATGATTGATATTTATTTGTAGATAAATATTTACCCAATTTATTGTTTTGTTTTTTCTTCTTCATTTTACAGGACCCAAAATCATAGTACGAACCGAAGAAGTGCTCATTGTTGGCTTGGTGCTGATGCTATGGGTCGGTGCCATTGTTCTATTCTTTAATCGTTGGGGTAAAATACGAATGTTGGAACCTTATCAACCGAAATTTCAACAACAACATCGAGCTTCCTGTCCATTATCGGATATTGACTCAATAGCACCACATCAGGTCAGTTTTGAAAAAGAAAATATTTATTTAAAAATTTTAATTGGCAAATTAAAATGATTTAACCTGTTGTTGTATTTTTTTAATTCCATTGCCTTTCTTCCTCTCTTCTAGCGCACATCGGTTTCTCGCATGTCAATGGGTTTTGTGAATAATGTAAAAAATATGCCATGTCAATTTAACGCTTATAATAATCCAACGATATACCCCAAAGGTAAGTTTTTGAAATGTCTGTCGTTTCATTGTTCATAATCCAAATTCAATCTCGTGCGGCAATCTTTGCGTTTAATTCGAAATGTAAACACTGGCGCATAAACGGCCAAATGGTTGGGCGCCACAAATCAGCTGCATATGGCGGTTTCATGACAATGAGCCGTTTTGACCATTGTGCAAATATCATGGGTTACGGGTTAGCATTTAGCCGGAAGGAAATCTGTGTTTAGTATTGTAATTGGGATGGTAGCCAAAGGAGCAACACACATTCCTATGGATAAATTTGGGGGGTAGTATGAAGATTTTGGGCTCTAGGCAAAAAATTTTACATATACAGTCACCCGAATAGTCGTGGATTTTTTTAGATATTTTTTCAAGGACCTTAAATATTCAAGCACCAGTACAAGGCGTGGATTTTTTAAAGAATATTTTTTCAAGGACCAATACATGGCGTGGATTTTTTAGAGAATATTCTTCAATACAAGGCGTGGATTTTTTAAAGAATATTTTTTCTAAAATTCCTACTCCATATTATCCTCATTCCTGGATTGCTGCCCTCTATAAGAACTTCTTGTAAGTAATGTTTAGGATCCACTAAAAACTTAAATGATATTATAATTCATTTTACAAATGTGAATGACTTGGACGGAAATGTAATGCAATTTTTTTCCTAATGACCATAACAACACTTCCTTTTCTTCTCCAGAAGAGAAAGAAACTTCCAGGTGAATGAATACAAAATGTTGAAAATATGATTATAGCATTATTGCATGTTGTACAAACATTTCTGACAGCTGCTGTTAAGCTTCGCGAAATATAAATCCCTTGCATGGAGCTGAAAGGAAGCAAAACCCTTATAATTACTAACGCGATGATGATGACGGCGACAATGACAGGCATAATACTTTGCTTATAATGTTTCTAATTTAAATTCTTAGAAATTGTGCGACATAGATTACGTTTATGAGCGGAAATATAAGAACTTAAGACGTTATTGATTCCATGGAGCACACACTGCAGGAAGGGTTAATAAATTGCATTAAAGAAATTGACTTGGTGGAAAAATGCAAGCATGTATTTGATTTTCGTTTGCGATTGTGATTTCCTATAAGTAATGTTAAATTATTTTAATTATAAAATTAATTTATAAATAATTTCTAAAAATTATATTTTTAATACTACTTTAGATAGTGTGTTAGTTTTATCAATCCTTGTTTTTATTTCATGTGAAAAGGCTGCCACCTATCGTAGCCTAGAAACAGCACCTATTTGTATTTTATGAAGTGGTTAGGGTCCTTGATTATTTATTTTTCTCTGGGTGGCGCTATTTCTTGTATTATACTCATGTATTGATGCCAAGGTTGGTTTTTTAGAATGTCAGGAGGCTTCGAATGCATTTCATCTGAAGGAGGTTGTAAACATCTGTTTACTTACTCACATGTTTGGCTCTAGACAGAGCATTTGTTTCATAAGCCGAGTTTAAAAAATTTCCAGGCGCGTCGGCCTTGTGCACAGGTTTTCCAATTTGAAATACCATGTTTCGAAAAGTTGTCTTCCACTTGATCTTTTCATCGAATTCGTGGCCTTCCCCTTCTGCGTGAACCAAGAGTTGGTTCGCTTTAGTAGCAGTAGCTCGATAGCCCTGACTGTGTCGATATCCGAGAATATATGGTACAACTCATAGTTCATTCGACGGCGATATCCACCGTTAACGTAGATCGGTCATTAGATCTTTAGTAGAATCTTTCTCTTAAACACTTCCAAAAGCTGACTCAGCTACTTGCGCAAGTACCCATGCTTCAGATCTATACACGAGCACGGGTAGTATCAGCGTCTTGTATACTGTGAGTTTGGTCTAGCGAAAGGTGACCTTGTTTCTGAATTGCTTACTTAGCATCTGTTGGGCAACACTGTCCCTGTCTGTATCTCAAAATTGATGTAATTTGTTTTGTTTGTAGATGACTACTTCAAAGTTGTTGTATTCAAGTTCCACAGTTGACCTCCTGCACATTGATACCATCACCTTGGTCTTCTCGCCTTTTACTGCAAGTCCCACCTTGGCAGACTACTTCTCAATTCGATGTGTCGATGTCATCGGAGTAGGCTAGTTAAGTTATCATAGCCGTATTATTTTTTCAGGAATACCGAACATGGCTTTAAACACCTCTGAGTCGACGAATAGGTGGTATGTGTCGATGAGTTTTTCGTGGGTCTTCTCCAGGATCTGGCGCAGTATGAAAGTCAGATTTATGGTGGATTTTCCAGGTCTGAAGCCGCTTTGGTATGTCATTAGGCATTGACCATTGGCTTCAGTCGTTCACATAGTACGCTGGATAACATTTTATATGCGATGGGTAGGAGACTAATTCCTCTGTAGTTGGCATATATCGTCTTGTATTCTTTTTTTGTGCATGGGACACAGGGTGATGAGGTTCCAATCATTTGGCTTGCATTCCTCTAGCCAAATTGTACTATTCAGTTGGTACAAGCTCTAGATTAGCATCTGACCACCGGTCTTTAAAAGTTCGGCACCTTCTTTTTTATTATTCTTCAGCCGATCTCGTATTGGTTTTCGGGTATCTTCCTCTGTTTGCAAAGAAATTAGTATATATCTTCTATGCAGACTAGCACCTTCTTCAGATTGTGGGATTATTACCAAGAATGCTTCCTTCCTGTCGTTGAGGAATAATCTTCGTGGAGGCAGAGGTTAAATAATGCCACAAGAAAGAGTGTCATGACTTCTCCTCATTTCATCTTCGATGACGTAGGACGTAAGACAAAACATCTGACCTCTCCGTTAACCACAATTCCACAACGAAATTCGTGCTTCGTTTTTAATGACAACCAAAGCTGGAGAAGACTATAAAAATACATAATGTAAAGGAGGGGAAAGAAAACATATTGGGCTGGCAGCAGAACACTCGTAAAATTATATATTCTCCATTTAAGATTTATTTTTGAGGATAATTAAAACGTTTTACAATCGTAGCCACTTAATGGCAGCCTAAGTACCGACTCACTCACACACATTCACTCCTTACGGCAATAAACTTGTACTTAACATTAATTGACTTTAATTCATTGCCATTTTCCAGGCGATTGGCAATGATATGTGTTTTCTTCCTCTTCATTTTTTTCTTCAAAGTCATCTCAGCAGTAGCAGCAGCAGTAATCAGCTTGGAAGAAAATGAACAGTCATTTGATTACATTTAGCACTTGGATTCCATAGCGTTTAATTATTTTCCTGATAACAACTTTGAGTGGAAATGTGCTCAGATGCGAGTATGTGTGAGTGTGTGCGTGTGTATTTGTTTATGTATTAATATGTGTTTGTCATTAGCAAATGGCAGATCCATTTTATATCTCATCTTAATTATCATCAGAATTTTCTGCATCGAATTTTTTATCGTCCTTTTTTTTAAATGGATTTTAAAAATCTACTCGTATGACATGACAAGCATATTATCGCTAACCTTCTTTAGCGTTAAAGCGTGAAAACAATTAAATTTAATTTACCATTCAATTTGAAATGGCATTGAACGGAAAGGACAAAAAGAGTAGTAAAGTGTAGGAGGTCTTTCATGGATAAACTTGGATGGAATAAAAATTTGTTTTTGTTTTTCTATGTGAATAGGCACAGTGGTATGGATTAACATCAGTGATTATGAGAAAACAGAAATCTCCGGCCTAGTAATTTAGCTAAGGAGTCAGAACCACATACCTCAACTCCAGCCAAGTTTATTATATAATGTCATATTTTATGACCTGTAATCAGCTACTGTATTCAGACGAACAGTAGTTAATGCCCCAATTCTATTGAATTTTAATTAGGATGAAGCACGATTATTGAATAAATTAATAAAACAATCGACTATTTAAGGTGGTATGCTTGAAGGGGTTCAATATTAACTAGCTCTTTCATTTAGTTCCATAGTTCATTTTAGTTCAATAATTCATTGAAACACAACCATTAATTCGGTCTATGAACGACTAAAAGGAACTAGGCGAACGAGAGGAATAATAAACGACTGGATCAAACGGAACTAGATGAAAGAAAGAACCTGATCTAGTACCAATCGTTCCTTGTGGAGAATATTTCTTTTGAACGAGTTCGCTGCGGAACGATCAAATTCTACCGCTAACATTTTCTGATCAACTCCAAATGAAAAGAATCAGCACTTAAGAAGTCTTGCTACCACGTGATTATTTTTTTGATCGAATCCAGACGATTGCACTTCTAAAGGAATATGGTCTTTATCGTCTATCCATACTAGCATCTGCTTACAGTTGTGAAATCTTACCACTAATGTTTTCTTCCTAGCTGTCGAAAAATATCCATATTCAGTGCTCTTCGACCATGTATCGTCTACAACACCACTATGTTCTCAATGATCATTTCCGTTGGCTACTATCATGTTCCCTGCAAAAATCCACAAGTAGTGCATGATTACCAATACCTTCCACTGCCGTGGTGACAAGGTTGCATAAGAAGTATCCATTGCAACTTTCCTAGAACTATATGGATTAAAAGGAAGTGGGAGGAACTAGAAAATGAAAGACTGAATCAAAAGGAACAAGATGAATGAAGGTATCTGACCTAGTACCGATTGTTCCTTTTGAGGAATAGTTCATTTGAACTTTTAACTCCAGAATAGTTCATTTGAACTATTAACTCCAGAACAATCCAAATGTAATGCTTTGGTACACTTAGTTTATTTTGGACAAGGACAATTTTATGCACAACAGTATCCTAACAGATCAAAGAATTAGTGCTAATAATGAAGAAATGAAGATAATTCTGAACACACTTTAATCTACATAAGAATAGTAGATAATTCAGGACAGATGACTTCGTATAAGTAATATAGGCTGTGTAGAAGTCTAACGACCATCCATAGTTACAGCTTGATTTGTTAAAGGTAGTATTTTCGAGTATGATTATAACTGAAGTTACGAAAGGGCTCTTAAAATTAAAAACAAGTCTTTGTTATAACTGAGTTT